TTCAGTTACGTATTGGTGTGTCACCCACCAACACTGGTTTACTGTGTCACCACCAACATTGGTTTAGTGTGTCACCCACCATCACTGGTTTAGTGTGTCACCCACCAACACTGGTTTAGTGTGTCAACCACCACTGCCAACATGATTAGTGTGTCACCAACCAACGCCAACAATGCTTAGTGTGTCACACACCAACACTGGTTTCGTGTGTCACACACCAACACTGGTTTAGTGTGTCACGCACCAACACTGCAGTGGGTCACCCACCAACACCAACACTGGTTTAGTGTGTCACCCACCAACACTGGTTTAGTGTGTGTCACACAACCAACACTGGTTTAGTGTGTCAACCACCAAAGCCAACACTGCTCAGTGTGTCACCCACCAATGCCAACAATGGCCTAGTGCGTCACCCACCAACATTGGTTTAGTGTGTCACCCACCAACACTGGTTTACTGTGTACCCACCAACATTGGTTGAGTGTGTCACCCACTAACACTGGTTTAGTGTGTCACCCACCAACACTGGATTAGTGTGTCAACCACCACCGCCAACATGGTTAGTGTGTCACCAACCAACACCAACACTGGTTTAGTGTGTCTCCACCAACATTGGTTTGGTGTGTCACCCACCAACACTGATTTTGTGTGTCACCCACCAACTCTGGTTTAATGTGTCAACCACCAACACTGGTTTAGTGTGTCACCCACCAACACCAACACTGGTTTAGTGTGTCACCCACCAACACCAACACTGGTTTAGTGTGTCACCCACCAACACCAACACTGATTTAGTGTGTCACCCACCAACACTGGCTTAGTGTGTTACACACCATTTCCAACACTGTTTTAGTGTGTCACCCACCAACACTGTTTAGTGTGTCACCCACCAACTTTGGTTTAGTGTGTCATCCTCTAACACCAACACTGGTTTAGTGTGTCACCCACCAACACTGGTTTAGTGTGTCACACACCAACACTGGTTTAGTATGTCACGCAGCAAATACTGGTATTGTGTCACCCACCAACACTGGTTTAGAGTGTCACCCACCACGTTTAGTGTGTCACCCACCATCACTGGTTTAGTGTGTCACCCACCAACACCAACACTGGTTTAGTGTGTAACCCACCAACACTGGTTTATTGTGTCACCCACCAACACTGGTTTAGTGTGTCACCAATAACACTGGTTTGGTATCACTCACCAACACTGGTTAGTGTGTCACCCACCAACGCTGGTTTAGTGTGTCAACCACCAACACTGGTTTAGTGTACACCCACCAACACTGATTTAGTGTGTCACCCACCTACACAAACATTGGTTTAGTGTGTCACCCACCGACACTGGTTTAGTGTGTCACCCACCAACACTGGTTTAGTGTGTCACACACCAACACTGGTTTACTGTGTAACCCACCAAAACTGGTTTAGTGTGTCACCCACCAACACTTGTTTAGTGTGTCACTCGCCAACACTGGCTTAGTGTGTCACCCACCAACGCCAACACTGGTTTAGTGTGTCACACACCAACACTGGTTTAGTGTGTCACACACCAACACTGATTCAGTGTGTCATGAAGCAACACTGGTTTAGTGTGTCACCCACCTCACAGGTTTAGTGTGTCACCCACCAACACCAACACTGCTGGTGTGTCACCCACCTACACAGGTTTAGTGTGTCACCCACCAACACCAACACTGGTTTAGTGTGTCACCCACCAACGCCAACACTGGTTTAGTGTGTCACACACCAACACTGATTTAGTGTGTCATGAAGCAACACTGGTTTAGTGTATCACCCACCAACACAAACATGGCTGGTGTCACCACCAACACAGGTTAGTGTGTATCCCACCAACACTAGTTTAGTGTGTCACCCACCAACACTGGTTTAGTGTGTCACTACCAACACTGGTTTAGTGTGTCACCCACCAACACCAACACTGGTTTAGTGTGTCACCCACCAACACTGGTTTAGTGTGTGTCGCACAACAAACACTGGTTTAGTGTGTCAACCACCAACGCCAACACTGCTCAGTGTGTCACCCACCAACGCCATCACACTGGCTCTAGTGTGTCACCCACCAACATTGGTTTAGTGTGTCACCCACCAACACTGGTTTACTCTGTCACCCACCAACATTGGTTTAGTGTGTCACCCACCATCACTGGTTTAGTGTGTCACCCACCAACACTGGTTTAGTGTCAACCACCACTGCCAACATGATTAGTGTGTCACCAACCAACCAATAATGCTTAGTGTGTCACACACCAACACTGGTTTTGTGTGTCACACACCAACACTGGTTTAGTGTGTCACGCACCAACACTGGTTTAGTGTGTCACGCACCAACACTGGTTTAGTGTGTCACACAACCAACACTGGTTTAGTGTGTCAACCACCAATGCCAACACTGCTCAGTGTGTCACCCACCAATGCCAACACTGGCCTAGTGTGTCACCCACCAACATTGGTTTAGTGTGTCACCCACCAACACTGGTTTACTGTGTCACCCACCAACATTGGTTTAGTGTGTCACCCACTAACACTGGTTTAGTTTGTCACCCACCAACACTGGTTTAGTGTGTCAACCACCACTGCCAACATGTTAGTGTGTCACCAACCAACACCAACACTGGTTTAGTGTGTCTCCCACCAACATTGGTTTAGTGTGTCACCCACCAACACTGATTTAGTGTCACCCACCAACTCTGGTTTAATGTGTCAACCACCAACACTGGTTTTAGTGTATCACCCACCAACACCAACCCTGGTTTAGTGTGTCACCCACCAACAACACTGGTTAGTGTCACCCACCAACACTGATTTAGTGTGTCACCCACCAACACTGGCTTAGTGTGTTACCCACCATTTCCAACACTGTTTTAGTGTGTCACCCACCAACACTCGTTTAGTGTGTCACCCACCAACGTTGGTTTAGTGTGTCATCCCCTAACACCAACACTGGTTTAGTGTGACACCCACCAACACTTTTAGGTGTATCACACACCAACACTGGTTTAGTATGTCACGCAGCAACACTGGTGTATTGTGTCACCCACCAACATCAACAATGGTTTAGTGTGTCACCGCTCAACGTTGGTTTAGTGTGTCACCCACCAACACTAGATTAGTGTGTCACCCACCAACACTGGTTTAGTGTGTCAACCACCACAGCCAACATGGTTAGTGTGTCACCAACCAACACCAACACTGGTTTAGTGTGTCACCCACCAACACTTGTTTAATGTGTCACCCACCAACACTGGTTTCGTGTGTCACCCACCAACACTGGTTTAGTGTGTCACCCACCAACACTGGTTTAGTGTCAACCACCAACACCAACACTGGTTTAGTGTGTCACCAACCACGCCATCACTGGTTTAGTGTTTCACCCACCAACATTGATTGTGTGTCACCCACCAACACTGGTTTAGTGTGCCACCCACCAAAACTGGTTTAGTGTGTCAACCACCAACACTGGTTTAGTGTGTCGCCCACCAATACAGGATTAGTGTGTCTTCCACCAACACTGGTTAGTGTGTCCCCACCAACACTGGTTTAGTGTGTTACCCACCAACACTGGTTTAGTGTGTCACCCACCAACACTGGTTTATTGTGTCACACACCAACACTGGTTTAGTGTGTCACCCACCAGCACTGGTTTAGAGTGTCACCCAACACTGGTTTAGTGTATCACCTACCGACATTGGTTTAGTGTGTCACCCACCATCACTGGTTTAGTGTGTCACCCACCAACACTTGTTTAATGTGTCACCCACCACTGGTTTAGTGTGTCACCCACCAACATTGGTTAGTGTGTCACCCACCGACACTGGTTTAGTGTGTCACATACCAACACTGGTTTAGTGTGCCACCCACCAACACTGGTTTAGTGCGTCAACCACCAACGCCAACACTGGTTTAGTGTTTCACCCACCAACATTGATTAGTGTGTCAACCACCAACACTGGTTTAGTGTGTCGCCCACCAATACTGGATTAGTGAGTCTTCCACCAACACTGGTTTAGTGTTACCCACCAACACTGGTTTAGTGTGTTACCCACCAACACTGGTTTAGTGTGTCACCCACCAACACTGGTTTAGTGTGTCACCCACCAACACCAACACTGGTTTGATGTGTCACCCACCAACACTGGTTTAGTGTGTCACACAACCAACACTGGTTTAGGTGTCAACCACCAATGCCAACACTGCTCAGTATGTCACCCACCAATGCCAACACTGGCTTAGTGTGTCACCCACCAACATTGGTTTAGTGTGTCACCCACCAACACTGGTTTACTGTGTCACCCACCAACATTGGTTTAGTGTGTCCACTAACACTGGTTTAGTTTGTCACCCACCATCACTGGT